ATTTCCTTTTCTGCAGTAATGTAGAATTTCGAGACCATCCAGCATAATTATAAATTTTTTATTATTGTCAATAATTTTGAATGGAAAAATGAATTATGAATTCCATTATATTTTCAACACTCTCCTCCGTCACTAGAATTAGTCCAATTTCAGCTTTTGATAACACAAACACCAATCCAGAGACCACGTCTTTCCGTCATTACCTGATTCAGTTTACTTCCAGTCCTGCCCGCGGCAATATATTATACACGCGTGAATTGATAGGCCTATCTGTTATCGTTTCGTGTTTAGTGTACAAACGGATTGTCTGACAAGATGCGTTTCTACCATTATTAGTCATAACAGGCAATCCTGGGGCTATCAAAATGAATGATAAGATTACTTCGTCACAAAAACCTTTTGTACTGGTGGCAATTATTAAGAGATAGTGTGGGTATTTTGCCCGGCGATTTTTGTAGAAGGCAGCCTGGGAATGGTGAGCAACAAGTCTGTCTTATTTCGTGACCCTGCCTATAATTGTGAAACAATAATATACTTTTTGCCAAAGTAATCGCAACTAATTCACAAAAACATAAAAGCACATGTAAAAACAGGGGGGGTGTTTCGGTGTTGTTTTTGCCGTTTTGTCCATTAATGCACTTAAAGCTGTTTGAATTCTTAAGCCCTGTAAAAATTAACGCCACCTAATATATTGTACAGTTACAGTACTGTGTTGGAGTAGAGTAATTCACCGAGTAGGCCTATATTGTTGTACGTTTTGAAGACGTTGTCTATTGCAATACTGAGCACACATATTGGCTGACAATACAGATTCTGAATTGTAAATTGGAAAACTTCTAATTCGTCCATTAGTTAGATTTATATTGATGTATTGTTAAATGACGTTTCATATTAAACATTTAATTTTGATTATCAGAAAGTTTGTTTTTCGTATCTCAAGTTTACTAAATACTTAAAATGCTTGTTTTATGAGGTAAAGGGAAAATTGTCAGATAAATTGGTGAGGGGAGGGTAGGTTTAAATAGACGGCAGCATAAATTGGGGGGGGGGACTACTCCTTTGGCTTGGGGGGGGTTTGCGCCTCTGGGTTTGGGGGGGATGGGCACCTCTGGATGGGAGAGGGGTCAAATTAAAGGTCTCAATCCCGTGACGCCGGGAAAAATAGTTAAATTTCCAAAATGTTTACTCAAACTTAAATAAAACGTAAAATGTTCTCCATAAGAACAGCAGAATTGACTGGCAAATAAGTCTTCCAAATGTTAATATTGCGTACTGGCTTAGTTGTAAATTACGATCAGCTGTATTAAAGTAAACAAAAATCAGCAGTAAATGGCTTCTAATTTATGTTTAAACTAATTTAATGAATAACTAGTGGCATGCAGTGACATAAGTCACTAAAAAGCTCAAAACATAAAACTATTTATTGTAATAGATCCAAACAAACTAAGAATTACATTTTTTTTATTTGTCAAGATGGATATCTTTGTACACCACTTTATCTTTGTATAAAAAAATGTATCTCTGTTTGCTTTGGTTGTTATCTATATATATGAAATCTAATGTTTGTCTAACATATCTTTTGTCCTTTATGCGTTACTCAATGACTATACGATCGTGATGAAGTTTTAGGGAAGTAAATAAGTATTATACAAAATCAACAGTTTTATTAGCCACATTGAGTAATATTTTATGGTTGTAGGGTTCCATTAAATTAAAATTGAAATGAATTAAAATGGTCTAGGTAGATTATTTCATAGTAATAATTGGAACTGTGACTTTTGCTTTTCATGACCCTTCCTCTATCACTCAAATGCGTTCATACCATTTCTTTTTCCTCCAAATGTTATTTTCCTCACTTTTATTATATTTTGTTTGTTTACATCTTTATTGAAACATGTAGCCAGTTTGTGGGTCTCATCTCACTTTCGTTTGATAAAAGACCAGATATTAGCCATATCCAAAACAATTCCCCCTTCAATAATTGTGTTAATTATGGACCATTTGCATCTGATTGGTTTGGTTACAAATTCGTATTGAAGATTGATTATAATGAATAGTGACTATACACTAATTGACAAAAATACTTTTTAACATTGTTTAAATAGAGAAAACTGTAGATATGGCAATAAATGAAAATTAATTTCTCAGTTATTCTTTGTCCAAACTTTAGCTTATAGGATATCGTTGTAATTGGCATAAAATTTACTAACTTTTACATGTCCTGTGTTATAAAATTAATGGTTTTCATGGCATTTGGCTTAAAATATTTAAAAATAGGTACACAATTTTTAACCGTTCAAAAGTTTTTTTTTATACTTTACACAAGTATATTTTTTGTTTCCTTTGACTCGCTGAATAACGTGACAAAGTTTGTTCATATGGTTACAAGACACCCTGTATAGTGAAGCACAACTTATTCTCTGTTTGGGATGTTAAAATATAAAAAAAATCCTCCACGTTTGATAACCAGCATGATCGGACCATGGGAATGGGGTTAACGGGGGGTTTTATGGGGTAAAAATGGGGTTTTCTCATTTTTTACCCTTAAAACACAAAATTTACAAATTTTTCTCCAGATCTTTTTAAAGAGCTTAAAAAAACAAATAATTTAGTATATCAAAGTGTTTTTTTACAGTGATTGGTTACGGTGAAAATTCAAAAAATATTTAATTTAAAATTCCTATGTTATTCTTATGGACATATGTTGTAGTTGGCTTGTTTATGGATATATTTTGATCAAACTTGGCGGATTTATTTATTTCATACAAAGCTATTTATATTTTCATAAAAAAACACACTTTATTAGTTTCCCTGTAGCAGCTAACCTAGGTACTCGTTAAACATAAATGTTAATTTAATAGATTAATTAAAAATCAATTTAGGCAAATGGAAATTTGCTAAGTCGGCAGGTTTGCTGCAGCGGGGGTATTTTAGTTTTTGGTACAACAATATTCCATTAATTCCATCCAATTAATCAGTGGCGTAACAGAAGGGCCCGCAGGGCCCGCGATGCGGGGGGGCCCGGGAGCTGAAGGGGCCCGCGAACCGGTGAGCGGGAAACGGCGAGCAGAGAGGCCCGTGAGACAAATGGAGGCCGAAAAATTGGAGTTCGTTCTTATTTAAACGTATTATAAATCATTCAATAATTGTATTGAACAAGTAATAACATTGATGTTATTAATAATATGTTGTTATCAGTTATCGTTTAATTTCGTTAGGCCTCTTCAGTGATAACGAACTAGGGTAACAAATTTAAAGTGTTATAACGTGGGTTTTTGATTATTATGCAATCTTACTTTCGTCACCGAGAAATATTTTACTTCTCGGTGATTTCGTACACTGCTTATGTCGTCTGCAAACATTTTGTTACTTTAGAGCCTGTAGTCATGAACGTTGGATGGGGCTTTTAATATTGTTTTTATATTATTTTACATTTTAGTTTTGTCCTAATATTGATTGCATTTTGTTAAATACAATATACTGCTACTCTACTGACTGTGTTTGTTAGCCCATATCTTATTTTACCTCACAATTAACCAATACTAAAGACATTTGTTGTAAGATAAACACTTACAACATAATAAGACGCTTGAAATCCATACAAAGATAAAATAAAAAATGCAATAGGCTATTTTAGCCTGTGATAAAAGTACGTTAATCTATTAAATTAACCAGCTTTTAGTGTATGAGATAATTATAACCAAAGATTAAACTAACCTAATAAATTAACACTTTCTCATCCTTCATTCATATTTGGGTTAAAATACGCACATAGTGGCGTCCCCATTTTAATAATTGATTGATTGCCTTTAATACTTTACTTTGAAATGGTGACCATACCAATGTAGGTATTTTAAGCCAAGAATTAATGGAGATGGGTGTAGGATGAGTGGCCCAACCTTTTAGTTTTGAAAGGGACTAAGGCCGACATATTCCTCAGACACAGATGTTAATTAATAGCCAATACATCAAAAGGCAACTAAGGGGCCTAAGGGGGTTAATAGGGGAATTCGAACCACATTTTTGCCTTGTAATTAACAAATTAGTCTAATTATCAGGGTAATAAAAAATGATAACATGTGTGATAAATTAAATGTAAAATTTTTAACCTCCTTGATACAGTATAAACATTCTGATAGACGATGGAAAAAAGGGTTTTTTAAATTTGATTTCAAAACTATTTACAATCACTAATATTTATATAATTATGAAGTGATGTAACCCTTTCATCAAACCACGACTATAATACTTTATACATCCTTTTATGGAACATAGCCCATAATTTAATATTTAAATTTTTAATTTAATATTTTTTTCATAATTTATTTACCACTCTTTTTATGATTAATCTGTTTGATCATTGTATCGGTGGTCCAAAAATAACTCTGGGGGGAGGGGGAGGGCGTTTGATTATGTTGTATCGGTGGTCTAAAAATAACTCCTGAGAGGGGGGGCCCAAAAAATAAGTTTGCAGGGGGGCCCGTACAAATTTGTTACGCCACTGCAATTAATGTTATGTTTATCACACAAAGACTTTAAAACTTTCAGAAGAAAACACATTTCATTGAAGCTCAACACTGGACAGAGCAACAAAAGAGATTGAAGTGCTCGTCCTCTGTATGTATAACCGTTGCGGGTGTGAGGTGAGGGAATATTTCCCAGCCGGCTGAATTGGCCGGTCGATCGACTAAGTTGCACGACATGGCAACCCCGCTTAGTCAGTTTCAAGACTAGCGCCGCCTAGGATCTAGTCGGTTTTTGGGCCAAAAATTGTCAACACATATTAGCATTGCGTGGGGTATCTGTGTATACTCCTTTTATCTATGGTATAAGTGAAGCTAATGCACATTAAAAAATATTGTAACTAACTCATATAATTTAATTTGTCAAGTTTTTGGGCAACTCTTAACATCACTCCACTCAAACTGTTTTAATTACAAATGCTTCTTATAGCACAAGATAAGTTATTTTGTGTTTAGTTAAAATTTTTTTTGTTTCAGTTTCTTGCTACAAAAAATCCACCAAAGTACAGCTGGTTAAACGAATGGTGTGAAGAGGTATTTTTAGCACTACATAGCATCGTCCAACTTCATTACTTAAACACCAAAGGTCCTTAAAGTAGCATATTGTACATTATATTTATAACTATTATTATATTATAAAGCTGAAATTTGCTTGTTTGAGGCTCAATCACACATTAATTACTGGTTGGATTGGCCTGCAATTTAGCATAATGGTGGTGGTGGTTCTGTGTTCTCTTCAGCTGGTAGTCTGACTTATTCTATTGTCGCTGAAGTGCGGGAAAGTGCATTGGAAGTTGTTGTAGCGGAAGTACGGAACTCGCATTGGAACGTGTTGTTACGGAAGTACTGGAACTTGCATTGGATCTTGTTGCCGTGGAATCATGGAACTTGATTAGGGCCTAGGTATTTCTTCACATTCATGAAAACTGGCCTTCTTTACTTCGGTTTTTTAATTACTAGAGCTCGCCCCGTGGTCGAAAACTTGACCAAAAGTATATATTGTGCACGCTTCTCTATTTTCACCCCACACTGTAAATAAAACATGTATGTGAAAATAATATTATAAAATGTTGTAAGTTTTTAATATCAGCCTACACAATATTTAAAACTAATCAAAACTAAAATGACGATTTCCACTACTTACCAGATTTAAAAGCCATAAACGTTTCTATTAAGGTCATAAAGGTTGAATTTTGTTTCTAAAAGCGTTGGTGGATGTATAACTATTTTATACAACAGGTGTAAAGATCAAAACGGACCCCCTCTTTCCTTCCTTTGGAGTATTCCATACCCACAATCCTCTTGGTGACCCCCCCTCCCCCCAGAATATTTGGCTTGGACCGCTCTTGCCTTAGATACGGGAAGTCTTTTTGTATACGGCCTTTCATAGGCTACATACAACAGGGGTTATGTGCTAAGAGATGGAAATATGAAAGAAATTGTTATTACAACAGTAGCTCGAACCATAGTGATAGTACTGCGTGTGTAAGACTTTATAATTTACACTATGATTAAGTAATAACACCTTTTAGCGAATTTCCCTATAGGGAAGTAGCTATTACCGTAGGTCTCATGGTAAGACCTAAGCCCGGGACCGATTTAATTTTTCATTTTGATGTCCCCAGAGGCCAAAAACACCATTCACATATATATATGTGTCCATCCGCACGATAACTTGAGTAATTTTTGTCCGATTTTGATAAAATTTGGTTTGAAGGTGTAAGGCGGGATAAACTTGAATGAGTTCGCGAACCAGCATGATCGGACTATGGGAACGGGGGTTTATGGGGGGTTTTATGGGGTAAAAATAGGTTTTTCCCATTTTTGCCGCTAAAAACACAAAATTTCACAATTTCTTTTTAAACCACTTTGTAGAGCTAAAAAAAAACAAATAATTTAGTATATTGAAGCGTTATTATGCGCCTAATTGTTACGGAGAAAATTCAAAAAAATTGTAATTTTAAAATTCCCATGTTATTCTTATGGAGAATAAGTCAACTGTTGTAGTTTGCTTGTTTATGAACATATTTTGATCGATTTTGAAAATACTTTTATTTCTTACTAAACTATTATCATTTTATAAAAAATCTTTTTTACCCTCCCTGTTGCAGCAAACCTAAGGTACTTGTTAAACTAATTCTATTTAAATAGAAAATAAATGTGCTATTTTTATGGAGGCATTTTAGTGTAAATCCAATCAGGTCAATGGAAATTCGCTTAGTCTGCAGGTTTGCTGTGGCGGGGGTATTTTCCCTTATAATCACATTGCATACCTAACTTATTTTTTTGTATCACATTCATAAAATGCAATTTATAAACAGACTATTACCAATCTAGATAATGTGAAGAGAGTCCAACTGTTTCTATAAAACTGTTGCGTTGATTGTTTTCAGATGCATCTTTTGCTGAGTCATTTTATGGAATTTACCGAGTTGAGGGGAACTGCAAAATGTCAACAAAGACTAGGTGTTGGTCTCTATTTTGTCTTGTAGGTTTACCTTACCTTGCTCGAAAGACTGAAAAATATGTATCCACCCTCCAAAACCAGAAGGTAATTTTGTAACAATTCTTATTTCGTAATGTCTTTTTACCTTAAACTATAGATTAGAGACTCTTCAGACCTAAGCTTTTTCAGAGTTATACCACTGACACTGGGATGTTATTTCTTTATTAATTTTTTTAACCTACATCCTTTTTAAGTACGTCCTTTTGTTTTCCATCACAGCATTTCAATATGATATGTCCATATTTTTACCAAAATTAAAGTCAAAATAGGAAAGTCTGTATCCTCCTCTTCCACCTAATGTAAAACCAAGCAAAACAGAAGTTCTATGCAATCCCTATTAAACTCGCTAACGCCTAACTTGTCGCGCAATGTGGGGACGAGCTACACTTGAGACACTGTGGCAATGGGTCAAGTTTCTGACAGATTACCGCATATTTAATGATTAAAACTTTAAATTTGTACTGTAGCTTCTTTCTTCAAATTTCAGATTTTTCAGATAAGTGTTATAGTATAGTCTCACAAATCTTACTATGTAAGATACATAAATGTCTAAATTGTTCCTACTAGTCCAGGAGCAAACTGCACATTTCTAACTTCCTTGGGTTTTTTGTGAAGGTAAGGTGTGACTATGTGGAATCTCTTTATTATATGTCACATAATGGTGTAGTACCGGGTGTTTACCTTCAAATTGCGCTGTTTGGTTTTTATGACGTCGTAAATCCAAGATAGCCACCATGTGTGACATCTATTAATAAAATTAATAATAACTCTTTCCAGAGTAAAATAATCAGATTTTAGTTAACGCCAATGGATTCAGCTCGAAAAAGCAAACAATTTGTTTTCCTGAATCATTGCTCAATGTCCATTGGTTACCGAGATATTGCATGTGGTAAACACAGAACATTGTCCCCATGTTATCCTTATGGGGAAAAATTCAAAATTGTATATCTCGCTTATTTCTCAACATATCTTAATACAAATTGGCATGTGGCTCAGCAAATCTGCATACTCACTTCCCATGTTATTCTTATGGTCAATAGTTTTGCATGCTTGAACATACGTTGAGAAATGTTGATGTGTGGCTCCAATTTAATTATTTACTAGAGGTCGTCCAGTGGTCGAAACTCGACCAAAAATATTTAATGTACAGACTTCTTTATTTTCATTCCACACTTTGAATAGAACATGTGATTGGAGTTTCTTCCATTTGTTTTGATTTTCTGTTTATATTTCGTTGTTATTTCGTCACCAGCATGGCAACTCATAATATCCATGTTAAATTTTTCAAAATTTTAAATTCATTTTTTGTGCTTATTTTTGAGCCTATTTTAATTTATAAAGGGATTCTGCACACCTACAGGAAAATAGCTTTCTAACAGTATGCGTAGATTTTCCCTACGATGCACACGAGCTGAGAAAAAAGGTTTTAAAGAAACATGCTTGCCTATTAATATATAGATAGATAGATTGAAGCATTTTAAATTCACTTAGTAAACAGGTCTGCTGATACGGTATTTTAGCTATGGTAATGACATATAGAATCGTGTACTACCGGGTGTTTTGTCTGAAAGAGTGGCCTAGCTGGTGTTTTCGGCCCCCATCTTGGATCCACCATATTGGATGTTAATAAAATTTTTAATGCAATGTTCGTGTTGTGACACATCATTATGAACTAGATTTTCATGCTGATTTCAATGCTGAAAACAGTTTTTAAATATATTTTTTTTGTTTGGAAGGTATATTCAAATGAAAACTCTCCCTTATACATTTCTTACGGACGTTTAGAACTTAGAACACTTTTAAAGATTGTTTTTCTTGTATCTCCAGTCCTTATTAACGCTTGCAGTTCGTTCTAGTCTTAAAATACTCAGTGATGTATGAGCTTTCATTTGAGCTATTGATCATCAAATATGGACGAGTTAGAGTCGAGCTACGGACCCTAACACAATATTAAAGTTAACTTATTAAAAATCAGTTGTTATTTTATTAAAAGATTTATATCTCGAGTTGTTAATACGTTCGACTAAGTTCTTTCTGGTCTCTAATTACTCGGTAAATGTTTGGTTTTAAATTTTATGAATCACTAAATGAAATCTGACTATTTTAAAATTAGTCATAAACCTTCATTTAACATAAAATTATTTTTATGTTGAAATTTGTCCTTGGTTAAAGGCATACAGGGCTGGTCATTACAATAATTTTTAGTTGTGGAATCTCTTGACTTATATGCATCATCTATCTATTCTATAATTTTGTTAATTAATGGGTCATTGGAAAGCCCAACTCTTGTAGATTTGCCAATAATTATGAAAGTGTGATTTTATTAAATCTTTGTGGTAAAAAAGTAAAAATAACAAAAATACATAAAAAAATGGGTTTTTCAAGTTTCTGTTTTCAAGTTTCTATTTGTAGCCAGCTTTTGGCTCTCTTTATTAAGCATTTTCAAGAAATGCATAGTAGTTATTTTTTAGTAAATTTTATTCTCTTTCAGAATATCACATCCACTTTGGTCGATTTTCCCTCCATTTTAAAGTTATTGGCAATTATCTAAGTGATCTCCAAATTTATAGTAGTGAGAAAATACTGAATTAGATATATTTTTGTTAAACTTTGTACAACTAAATCTAGACTTCTACCGGACTAATTTTGTTACCTTATGGATCGTTGGAAAGCCTAATTTGTGTAGATTTGCAAATAATTATGAAAGTTTGATTTTATTACATAGACCTATTTGAGGTAAAACAATAAAAATAAACAATATTACATTTAAAATGCCTTTTTTCCCAGATTTTATTTCCAAGTTTATATTTGTAGCCAACTTAAGGCTGCCTTTATTGAGTATTTTCCAGAAATACATAATAGTAATTTGTAGGAAATTTTATTCTCTATCAGAATATCAATTTCCTTTCGGTCAAGTTATTTTCAAAAACGTTAAGCAACCTCAAAATTTATAATGGTGAGAAAATACTGACTAAAGATTTTGTTGCTAAACTTTGTACAATTAAATCTACAGTTCTACTGAACAGATTTTATTAATTAATAGGTCATTTGAAAGCCTAATTCGTGTAGATTTGCAAATAATTATGAAAGTTAGATTTTTTTAAAGATTTACTAGGTGAAACCTTTCAATTCTGACAGTTGCTGTTGAGGTTGCAAGCAAGATCGTTTGACTATAAATCGATGATAAATAACTAATTTTTTTTATTTGGGTTGTTCTTGATTTAGCAGTGTGGGTTAGGTACGTCCAATCTTAATAATCAATAATTCAAATGGAAGCTGGTATTTCACTGAAGGTTCTTAGGTGAAAACAAAAGAGAATAACGTAATTAGAATTGAGTAAATATATCTAAAACTAAATTTCATATCAAAGATAAAATTAAATTTATGTTGTCTGATTGAGCGATAAAGTATATCTTTAACTTAACTGATTAAAACTATCAATATCTCAAGTGAAAGCCTTTGAAGTATTTTAAGACAAAGAAATATAAAATAACTTAAATAAAATTTGAGTTACGTATCATTGATTTAAGATAAGTACTAAAATGATTATACTGTAATTATTGTGTATTCGTGATTCAGCAGTGTGCTTTAGGTAGGAATCAATAGCTCAAATGAAAGCTGGTATTTCACTATTTCACTTAAGGTTTTTAGACCAAAACATATAGGGTAAAGTAATTATAACTGCTGGATATAAATGCGCTGCCGCTTCGCAGCTCATAAAATTAGAATCCAGCATTAACAAAACACAGAAGCTCGAGTCCCCAATTTCAGCTCAAGAGTTTAATGATCACTTTATTAAGATCGGTAGAAGGGTGGCCGAAAAAGTTTATTCATCCAATTGCAATAGTGACTTTGTCAACTTTCTTCAAAAAGTAAAGCCGGTGACCAAAGAGTTCCACCTTCAGCCAATAGATAACCGGTCATTGCTATCAATAGTAAGATTATTAAAAACCTCCCGATCCGAAGATATATTTGGTTTGTCAAATAATGTCGTAAAGGAAATCATCCCTTTCATTTTAGAACCATTAGTCTATCTCATAAACTTGTCTATTTTTTCAGGTAACATTTCCCCATAGCCTAAAATTTTCCAAAACACACCCAATTCATAAAAAGGGAGACAGAACAGTTATTGATAACTTTAGACCAATTTCTATAATTCCAATTTTTTCAAAGATAATTGAACATCATGTGAAATCGCAACTCTACAGTCATCTTAATAAGTACGAAATTCTGAGCCCAGCTCAGTTCGGTTTCAGACCTGGTTTTTCAACAATAAAGGCAGTTGACAAATTGATTTCTGAGGTCTTGAAATCTTTTGAAGACAACAAATATCTTAACGTAGCTTTAATGGATCTCAGTAAAGCGTTCGATAGTACGTCACACCAAATTATTTTGCATAAATTAAAATTTTATGGAGTCCAAAAAAATGAGCTAAATTTCTTCAATACTTATCTTTGTGGCAGATTCCAACAAGTGGTTGTTGGGCAGGACTCATCTGAGTTTGAGGAAACTCTAGCGGGAGTCCCTCAAGGGTCAGTGTTAGAGCCTATTCTGTTTCTATTAATGATTAACGACTTACCTAGTAACATATCTTGCCAAACACTCTTATATGCCGATGATACCACTTTCTTTTCCTCAAGTTGTAGTTTTACTGAGTCTGAAGCCACAGTCAACAACGCTATTACTTTATCTTCTAATTGGTTTAATGCAAACTCTCTTACCTTAAATCATGAGAAAACTGAGCGGATTTGCTTTTCGCTAAAACACTTAGAAGGTTCAAATATCCCGTCAACAGTGAAACTTTTAGGCATACATTTGGATACAAAGCTTACCTGGCAACGCCACACTACGCATGTTGTGTCTAAGATCTCCCGAGTCTGCTTCTTGTTGAGAAGACTTAAGAGTTGCGTCTCGGATAGTATGCTCATTACTGCTTATTACAGTTTCTTCCACTCTCATCTTCTGTACATTCTGTGGGAAACATTCTGTGGGGTAATAGCGCTGGAGCCAGAAAGGTTTTCTCATGGCAGAAAAAAGCACTGAGA